AATTTATAGAAGTACATCATTAGTTATTTTCATACAATTTATTTTCCGAAAATAATATGTTGAGTCGGTATCAATATATTTTACTAGTTGAGAAGCTCATTTTGCTAGTTACATTTTTAACAACTAGCACATTTTAGCAATAGGTTGCTAGTGGCTGAAAAAGTAAATTTCTAGCCCTGCCAGATGCACGTGGCGCCCTTCTTTTTCTACTAATGGAGGAAAACTTTATCACTAATCAGAGTCCCATCATACGATTCTGCACCTTGGTGTCTCATTTTATTGTTTTAAATTAATTTATGGCTATTTGTTGTATCTTATGGATAATGGCAACGATTTATGCCTCCGCAAAAGGGGGTAATGTATTCACAGTTGTGTAATACGCCTTTTTCACACTGCGGTAGACATAGCGTTTCGGCCATATTTTTGTATAGTGCGTGTTGCTATTATTTTAATTAAGTTTTGACAGACTAAACAAATTTTAATTTTTTTGTTACTCATACAGTACTTAAATATATACTTTGCGAACATTTTAAAGAAAAAAATATGTCAATACGACCCTCCGTTAAGGAGTTACGATTCTTAAAGTAACATGAACCTCCAAAAATATCTCGAGATGAAGCCCATTTCGAATTGAAGCCTCCTCTTTGTTTGCAAAATTAGCCTCGAAAAGAAACCCATCTTAAATAGCATAGGCTTCTTTTCAAGATAATACAGTACATATATTGTGCAAGAATTTCAGAAAACAAAATTAATTAAAAACAAGCTTGGTTTATACATTAAGTGATTTAATGCCAGTTAAATACACTCCATAATACAGATTGATGTTACAATGACCTTATTTATAGTTTAATTGTACAAATTTACAAAAATTTACAGCATTCATTTTAAAAAGAAAACCCGCACCCCCCCCCCCCCCTCCCCCCCCCTTTACTTTGTCGAAAAGAAGCTCATCTCAAAAAGTAGCTTATCTCAAAAAGAAGCCCATCCAAAGTTTGTAAAAAAAAAAGAACCCCAGGGCTTCAATTCGAGGTTTTACGGTAGCGTATTAGAATAGGCCTATACAGTACACTCTACTACGTAGTTTCCTATCTTCATATTTGATCGACTCTTCTTTACCATACAGTTTACACATATAGTTGGCTCACGGGGAAGCTAATAGCCAAATTCATAATGAAAAGATTTGTGGAAAATCGTGTTTCCCTGTTTACAAAGTCAGCGTAACACACACACAGATGCACTAACATCATAAAGTACTCTGCTGAAAACAAAGGTTCCTATTATTAAATAGGAACCAAAAATGGTTGCCAACCTAGCTTTTTAAACCTTGTTTATGGTACACATAAGTCAAATTTACCATCTTGAATGAAGTGATCTCTGCATAAGATGATGAAAACTACAGTACAGTATTGGTTTTGTATTTATTCCACAGAGGGTATTGAAGCTATACTTGCTCACAGTGTGAGTGCATTTGAGTTGCTCTACCGTAAGAAATTAAATCGAGGATGTATTTTCCAGTACCTAGCAAACAAGAAGGTGGATGTATCTGTAAGTACTAGCAAGCAGGACCTAGCAGGGATGGTGCTTTATATTCTACAAGGTGTTGATTATTTAAATGTAAGTTATTCAAACTTTTCGATTTTCATTATCATATAATACAGTTATTTAACAAATTTGCCTATGGCGTTCTATCCGGTCTGGATGCATGTGGGTATTGGGGTGTGGATTATTGTAAATACAACCTTGAAAATGGTATGGAGAATTATGACTCACTATATAGCTGGACTGTAGGCTTAGTCAGCGAGCTGTCCAATTATTTAGGACGGCCACTTTTACCGTGACGGCTTGAACGGCTTGTCCTAATCAGCTCGGCCTAGTCTAATTGGGCCTGGTCTACCTTTAGCAAATTTTTTATATTCTTCAAATCTATCAAATGTTACATTAAACTAAAGCTAAATCATATTTACGTTTGATAAAAACAACATTTATTGATTGAATGTACGTTTTCGTACCAATATTCGGTTGGGATTCCCAAAGATGGCGTGGCCTGCCCTCCGGTCAGTGTCAGCCCACTGGCTTCCAATTTGGACAGCCTGTTTTCTTTTTCTGGCTAAACTTGAGCTGGACACACTGTAAAACTTTCATGACATGAACATTTTAAGGATGGGTAAGGGGCTGTTACAGGTGGGTGGCTGCTCCCACCTCCGCCCACCATACAGTAACTACATCCCTGCCAACCATTTGTAATATATTAATATTTTCAATCATCTAATGAATTTAGCTAGTGTTAGCTTCAACGTAGGCAACCCTGCTAAAAAGTCCTTCATTGAACGGTTTCTACAAATGGAATTCATTCACGAAATACCCAGAATGACCCAATACTGATTCGATTATAATCGTACAGAAATTCAATTTAGAGCAAGTTGCAAAAAATAATATTGATTATAAACTCTAAACCAAGAGTTTTCTAATGGCTTATTTGTGTTTCTTTGACATTCATTTATAATGTCAAAAAGAAGCCAATACAATCTTGATTAGAAGCCCATGTGCTTTTTTTCAAGATTACTTTTGCAAACTAAAGAGTGGGTGGGGGCATCTTTTCGAGATTAAGCCAATTAGGCTTCTAATCAAGATTTTACAGTACTTACTGTTGTGTTAGCCCCACCCGAAATAGACTGGGTTCTTAATCACTGAAAATGCTTGGGGAAAAAAAATCTGTTTTGGCACCAATGACATTCCATAGATGGCTTTTCTTGGTTTAGGGAATGAGCAAACAGTGAGGATTTTGATTGCTAATTGCAGTTCATGTAAATAGATATAGAGAAATTAATTTTATGCCTCCCTCTTCTTCCTACCCTCCCCATTTGGACCGCAATGAACCAACATTTTATTTTAAATTGCCTTTTATACAATCGGCTAATTATGTTAAATGAAGATTCAAATGCCTGTCAAAACAATATTTTCATAAAGTTAAAATTGTAATGGCCTACAAATCGTTCAATATTTTGAATATATTCAGTGTGAAAGACCTTTGTTTATAAATGTATTAGAGTCATTCCATGCCAACTTAACCAATTTCTAAAAAGTTTCCATGGTGACCATCTTGGACTTTTCTGAAATTTTACACAAATATACTTTGAGGGGTATTATGAAAAATTCCAAAGTTTCATTGAAAAATTCCCAAGTGTTCCGAAGCTACGGCACTTTTAAATTTTGAGGACACACCCCTTTTTCAGACTCGCAAAGAGTGGCGATATTTTGTTAGGGTTTTTGAAAGGAAATATTTTCATTTCTGGACATCTAGAATGACGTTCCGCAAACTATGGGCCGCAGCCCAAACATTTGTTCCGCGAAATATTTTTGGAGGGCCACGAAGCCCTCAGAGAATTTGAAAAAAAATAATATAAAAATATGTTTAAACATGGAGAAAGTAGTTAATAAAGCCGCTTTATTGTTCAATGTTACAGCGAATGCGCAGCACCTCCTTGCTTGTACAAACTGCTAAAGTGTCAGATTGAGATTTGAGCTATAGCAGGCCCGTAGCCAGGGGGGGTTTTTATGGTTCGGGCGAACCCCCCCTGTTTTCTAGCGAACCCCCTCAAATTTTTGAATGAGTCCCACTCGGAAAGAATGTCTGTTTTTAACTTACCCAGCATTAAATCAAAATTTAGCACCTAATTCATTATTAATTGGTCACCCGTTTTTAAATTGTATCCTGCGATACAAGCCTACATTCATAGCATATCTCAGCTTCAGAATTTCGGAGATTTAAATTGAACTCCGGCAAACCATGACACTGTCTCTTATACACATCTAGCACTGTTACAAAACCAAAATATATGAAGGCCATTTCCTGCTTGACAAAAAGATTAAAACTTGGTTTTTCAAAGGTTGTACTACCTGTGGTAAAATCTAGACCAAATTCAATTGAATTGGTAATAATAAAGATAAATAACTTTGAATGAGGCAGATTGCCAGAGGTTATGTAGGAAGACTCTTTGGAAATTGATAGTGAGAAAATCCAAGACTTTTGAAATGTTTGGGACCTGTGCAAATATTTTATATGGGTCCGTTAATTTGCGAGAAAAATATTTTGTTGTTCTATAAAGCTTGCTATGCCAAAACCAGCATCAGTGACCAAGACAAGAAAATTTACGTTTTTAATATCGTAAAAACCAACAACACACAGCCACATGGATCGATGGCCTTGTTTGTTTGATCATCGTACAGAATAATTTATTAAGATACAAAGCAACTGTTTTAATTTACGCTGATGTTTCAACTGTGTAAACAATATCTAGTATGAATATATATATTATAATAGTAATATTTCATTAAAAATACATTATAGTAATTGCTGACTTCATGTTAGTCTGCACTCACTTACAAGCGTACTGTACACTGAGTCACTAGGTGGTAGTGACACGCAACGATGCAACTCCAGTACTGAACATGTTCTCACTGCCAGAACATGGCAAGTGCTCTGCATGCGACCGCACCACGTTCGTACGATGGACTTAAATGACTCCACAACAAGCGATTAAAAAAAGAAGGGTGGGCTAAAATTATATTTATTACCTCCCAACCTTTCATTTAACAACGACAACATGATTTACCTTACGACGATAAATGTTTGGGTTATGGTTTTACAAAAAATTTATCATTAGTGGGGAACGAATGCAAATGAAAGGTAACTGTTCGCTGGTGTGACAAAATAAGTGATGGTAGTGGATGAACCGCCAGGTCGTCATCTTAAAGTTGAGGAGTAACTGAGTATGCGTGAAAGCTTGGATGAAGGAGAAAACTATGACTTGTGTGACTGAACCGTGTTCGGTTGAATCATGATAGAAAAAAGAAAAAAAATTGTCGGTTGAAAACACAAGTGTGCTGTATCATTTCTTTAATAAAATAGCATTTAATTGTGTACAATGAAATTTTGTCACTGACAGAACAGTTAATGATGTCAAACTATTGTATATACATGGAGGCTTAAGTTCATGATCAAAACTTCTTGCCAGGTTGTGGTATGTTGGTCCCTGACGCAGCTGGGTTGATGGGCCGCGGCTTGGTGCCTAGCATCGTAAATAGGCTGTGAAGTAAAAGTTTGTGGAACGCTGATCTAGAAAGCTACAAATTGCTACTCTGGCTCAGTTTTGCCCATACTTTCTGATTCTGCTTTCAGAATCAAGGTCTGAATAGGCACTAAAATCAATTTTATTTGGGCAAAATTAATTATGTATTTTAATTGTTAACAGTTAATGATGTCAAACTATTGTATATACATGGAGGCTTAAGTTCATGATCAAAACTTCTTGCCAGGTTGTGGTATGTTGGTCCCTGACGCAGCTGGGTTGATGGGCCGCGGCTTGGTGCCTAGCATCGTAAATAGGCTGTGAAGTAAAAGTTTGTGGAACGCTGATCTAGAAAGCTACAAATTGCTACTCTGGCTCAGTTTTGCCCATACTTTCTGATTCTGCTTTCAGAATCAAGGTCTGAATAGGCACTAAAATCAATTTTATTTGGGCAAAATTAATTATTTTAAGATTTTGACATCAGGTTGTGTGGTCAACTATTGGCCGAGACCAAATATTTTAATGGCAGTTTGTTATTTGGGATATAGACTATAGCCAAATGCAAGATTATTCCAATCAAACATCAAATCACAGATTTATGACAATCCAAAAATGGCCGCAGCACAAAAATTGACTCCCATACCCTAAATTTGAGGGGTCAAATAACTACGTGATAGTTAGCAATGGAAATGAAACTTACACAACTGGAAGATATGTGTCTTGGCCATATGCTGTATGGTAGAAATATTTTTACCTCAACTCAACCCCTTCAATATAAACTCCCAGTGTGAAAATGGTATTATTTTCTGTGTCGGCAACTTCTGGTTTCAACCCACCAACCTCAATATTACCTAACCCCAGTCTATAAGTCTAATTTAAATGTAGACTGCTGGTTAATCTTTGATGACTGCAGTGCTACTGAAATACAGTACTATAAAAATGCACTAAATAGACCTCTTACCGGTAACTATTTTTTAAACATGTACTGTACTGCATGTCATTGTTTGCATATAACCCTGACTTAAGACAGGCTCCGGGGAAAAAAAGTTTTGATATGATTCAAAACTGATTTTTTTTCAAGACACAAAAAGCATATTTGATGAAAAACTTGGGAATGGTTAACTAATGAGATATGATTTTTTGAATATTTAAAAACTGGGGGGGGGGAAAGGGTGGATAAAATGGTGGTTTGGACGATGAAATACCATTTAAACATCCATACTATAGGAATTGAGATGCCGCTTGTTGAATTACTCAGTGTGTTTCATCCAACTCTCTCCGGCATGGCACTCACACTGTTATGTCTTCAGCTTAAGAATATTGAGTCCTCCTCTCAAGACTCTGCTCCTTTTTATCTCCAAAGTAAGAACTGTAAACATTTTAACCTATGTCACCACAAAGATGACTTTGGTCATCAGAAAATATTCCAAGAATCATCTTTTTGCATGTGTCCAAAGATGTTTTAAAAAATGATGACGGATTTAAACTGAACGATTTTCTCACTCTAGAACTTTAACAGAAACTTAGTCCCACCATTGCTTTATATTCCATTGCAAATTTCAGCTGATATCAAGGGCTCAACAATCCAGAGCCAAGTAGCTGATGGTGAGATAACTGAAGATGGGCTACAGCCTAGGAGATATGTTGCCTAACTCTCCCTGTTAACCTTACCAGGGACTTTTTATTGCATGCCCCTGACAAACACTCTAGTCAGCCCCTGACAAACACTCTAGTCAGCCCCTTTGTTTGGACACCAAAAATGTAGGGACAAAGTGCTCTTTTTACAGAATTTCTCCACCAGACACTGAAAAAAATTACCAAATTTTATGTATATTTAATACTAATAGTAATACCCATGATAATGATTAATACTATTGCTAACATATTTAATGTTGGCTTTTCTTATTTAGCGTACATTTTATTCATTTGTTTTGTTTCTTGTTTAACTGTTTATTGTATCTGCTTGTAGCTCACAGGGTTGAGCTATTGGATTGATGTGAGTCTGTTTTTACACAGAAATAAATAAATAAAAAATAAAATAAATAAATGTAGTGAAATTTAACTGTTCCCTAGTTATAATTCATGGTGATTTTTTTTGTTTTATTATTTATTAGAATTTTGCAATGCTTAAAAATAACTAGATCTTTGCAAAATTGTGTATTTTTTTTTTTTTTTGAGTTGAGTTGAGGTAAAAATATTTCTACCATACATGGCCAAAATACATATCTTTCAGTTGTGTAAGTTTCATTTCCATTGCTCACTATCTACGTAGAATATTTGACCCCTCAAATTTAGGGTACGGGAGACAATTTTTGAGCTGCTGCCATTTGGCTATAGTCTATATTCCAGATAATTGCCATTAAAATATTTGGTCTCGGCCAATAGTTGATACACAACCTAAGGTCAAAATCTTAAATTAATTAATTTTGCCCTTGAAAACTGATGCTCATAACTTTTTAACGCTTGATTCCGATGCCAGAATCAGAATATATGGGCAAAACTGAGCCAGAGTAGCAATTTTTAGCCTTTTACTGTATGTCCAGAAATGAAAATATTGCTTTTCAAAAACCCTAGCAAAATATCGCTGTTCTTTACGAGTCTGAAAAAAGGGGTGTCTTCAAAATTTAAAAGTGCCGTAACTTTGAAACGCTTGGGAATTTTTTTTAATGAAACTTTAGGATTATTCATAATACCCCTCAAAGTATATTTGGTTAAAACTTCAGCAAAATCCTAGGCGTTCACCTTGGAGTCTATGGTTGAGTTTGCATGGAATGACTCATGTGCGGAAACAACTAGATCTTTCTGAACATGAGTATGTGAACATAGGTCCTGGTACAGGGCTTCTCATGTTTTTCAGCATTTGCTGAGTCCAGAACACTATCACCAACTCTGTAATGAAAAACTGCTTCACTCTTCTGAAATCCTCATAAAATTCCATACATGAGATTGCATACCCATAGTTTTCCATTCTTTTCCTACCAGCTTTGAGTGTTTTGGCATCGTTTGGTGAGAGAGTGCAGAAATTGAGAAGGTGGACTGGCCTAGATTGCTTAATAAACTTTCTGAATACCCTTTTAGATTTTGATATATAGTGTCATCTTTTTTCAGGACAGAAACCCCTGCAGTAATGAAGCTATCAAGACAAAAGGTGCTGTAATGGAATCGCCATCCAAAAAAAAAGTAAATAAATATCACATCTTAAAGAAAGAAAAACAAGGCCAAAAATGAAGCATGCAAAGTTAAAAGAAAAGTGCCAGACTCATCAAATGTATGTTATTCATTCTCCCCGAATAATACAAATAGTAAACATGACATTTCAAGGCTTAAAGTATGTTAAATTCCTTATTTTTCAGAAAGAAAAACAAGGCCAAAATGAAGCATCCAAAGTTAAAAGAAAATTACCAGATTCATCAAATGTAGGTTATTAATGCCTCTGAATATTAAAAATAATAAGTATAACATTCCTAAGCTTACAGTATGTTAAATTCCTTACTTTTCAGAAAGAAAAACAAGGCCAAAATGAAGCATCCAAAGTTAGAAAAAAATTACCAGATTCATCAAATGTAGGTTATTAATGCCCCTGAATATTAAAAATAATAAGTATGACATTCCTAAGCTTACAGTATGTTAAATTCCTTACTTTTCAGAAAGAAAAACAAGGCCAAAATGAAGCATCCAAAGTTAAAAGAAAATTACCAGATTCATCAAATGTATGTTATTCATACTCCCTGTATGTCATACCCATGCTTTCAAATTTTTAATCTGGAGAGCATTAATAGGGAAGGGGTAAAAATCCACCACAAATTTAAAAAATACCACAAATGTCAAAAAACATTCCTGGAAATGTCAAAATAACTACTAATGTCTTAACATGTCAACCACAAATATAGAAAAGTTTAACCCACAAGTGTAAAAAAAACCTGCAAATGTAACATTTCGCCTACAAATGTCAACAGCAAATGTAAAAACTCACTGTAAGATAAGTTATTATCAGATCTATGGGTGTGTTTATGTGTGAGGTTTTAGATTGTCTCTCGTCACCAGAAGGAGTCACATCAGTTAAAAATAAAAGAATCTATTTTTTGTGATAAAACAATTTTATCAATAGTAACGAATCACCAAAAATTAAAATAAAGGTGCAAGAATCATTGAGTGTAGTTTTGTAACTATCACTGAAATTGGAGATTGTATGGCTAGTAATAATACCACCTTGCATGACTGTGAAATGGACAAAAATGTTCAGCATTTCCCTACCGTAAAATACTGCAACCATTTCAGATAGGGGATAGGGTGCTGTTACAACATGTAGCTTTCTAGGGTAGGCATAATTTGTAAAATATTACTGAAACCAGTATGTGTTGATATAAAGTGATGTATAATATGTTTATGTCGGGGTAGGATAAAAGAAATAAAACGGACATTTCCATGCTTACAGAATGCTCAATTTCTATCTTTTTAGAAAGAAAAACCCAGCCAAGAAAAAGCATCCAAAGTTAAAAGAAAACTGCCAGACTCATCAAATGTAGGTTATTCATACTCCATAGGTCATACTCAGGGTTTTCAATACTTTTCCCACCAGCTTTGGGTGTTTTGGCATCGTTTGGTGAGAGAGTGCAAAAAATGAGAATGTTGAACATTCCGAGATTGCTTAAATAAACTTTCTGAATACCCTTTTAGATTTTGATATCAAGTGTCATCTTTTTTCAGGAAGGAAACCGCTGCAGTAATGAAGCTACCAAGACTCAAGATGCTGTAATGGAATCGCCATCCAAAAAAAAAGTAAATAAATATCACATCTTAAAAAAATATAGGCTACTTATTCATTCTGTGGCAAAAATGAAAGTAAGTTTCTACAATTGCAGACTGTATGGCCAGTAATAACACCTCACATGAATTTGAATGGACAACAATGTCCAGCATTTCCCTACCTTAAAGTACTACAACCATTTCAGATAAGAGATAGGGTGCTATTGCAACATGGAGCTTTCTAGGATAGGCATAATTGGTAAGATATCACTGAGACCAATACAGTATGTGTTAATATTAATAAATAAAGTGATGTATAATATCGTTATGTCGGTTAGGATGAAAGAAAAAGAATAGACATTTCAAATAAGACAGTATAATACATACTCCAAGTATTGAAATACACGCCATCGTGTTGGGATTCAATATTTCGACATTAATTATGTCATCATCTGGAATGATGTAAGCATTTCAATGCTTACAGTATGTTAAATTCCTTACTTTTCAGAAAGAAAAACAAGGCCAAAATGAAGCATCCAAAGTTAAAAGAAAATTACCAGACTCATCAAATGTATGTTATTCATACTCCCCAATAATACAAATAATAAATATGAGATTTCTATGCTTACATTATGTTAAATTTCTTACTTTTCAGAAAGAAAAACAAGGTCAAAATGAAGCATACAAAGTTAAAAGAAAATTACCGGATTCATCAAATGTAGGTTATTAATGCTCCCTAAATAATAAAAATAATAAATATGACATTTCTAAGCTTACAGAATGTTAAATTCTTTACTTTTCAGAAAGAAAAACAAGGCCAAAATGAAGCATCCAAAGTTAAAAGAAAATTACCAGATTCATCAAATGTATGTTATTCATACTCCTTGAATATCATACCCATGCTTTCAAATTTTGTTTATCTGGGGAGCATTAGGAAAGGGGTAAAAATCCACCACAAATTAAAAAAATACCACAAATGTCAAAAAACATTCCCAAAAATGTCAAAATAATTACAAGTGTCTTAACATGTCAACCACAAATATTGAAAAGTTTAACCTACAAGTGTAAAAAAAACCTGGAAAATGTAACATTTCGCCTATAAATGTCAACAGCGAATGTAAAATCTCATTGTAAGATAAGTTATTATCAGATATACGGGTGTGTTTATGTGTGAGGTTTTAGATTGTCCCCCGTCACCAGAAGAAGGAGGACCCCACTGCAAACGAGTCTTTGCACTTAATGGGTTATTTTTGGTGTCATTGTTTCACTATCCTATCCTGTGTCCGTGTATATTACGAACACACAACTATAACAATTGTGTCAATCAGTCAATCATCAATTTACACTGCTATATTTTGACAAAACGAAACCAAATGCTAGAAATTTTGTCAGGAAACTAACAAAATACAAATAGTGGTATATTTATGACATAATAAATAATTTTGCTTGAAGCATTGCCTTATAAATTCGTAAGCTTGGTGTTTCAGGTAGATTTTGGAACCTGCTTATTAGTATGTATTCATCTGTTATGTTTGCTGTTAATGGCCTCAAACAGGGGTAGCTTTATGTCCTATGTTATTTAATTTTTTACTAGTGATCTTCCAGCCACAAAAAAAAAAATGGAAATTTCATTAAAAAGAAATTTTTTATTTTTATTATGCCTGCATCGAAAATAAGATATATATTTCTTCCTAATTATATAAATTTAAAGCATTTAACCATCCCATTACTACATTGTTTACATTCAACAATAATTTTTTTTTTTCTCCTCCATCTGGATGTTTTTGGCAAAACAATGTGCTAAATGAAAAACCAAAATTGTATTACAAGGTATATAAAAGGTCTCACTGTATTTATATTATAATTAAGCTTATTTCAAAGTCTGCAATCATAATTAGTAACTAAGGACCTCAAAAACAAAAGTCAGATTCAAAACGTACCAGTCTGAATAACTGTAACAACATAGATCATCAAAGTCTGCATCTCATGGAGTGAAAATACTTCCATATTTCAGCTTAATTGAGGGAAAAATAATTACTTTTACAGTTGTTTTTCACCAGAGTAGCTGTCTTGTGACCACATGTTAATTTTTACATATTTCTGCATTCGCTAGCCGTGTCATCAGCTGTTTTGTAGTTTCATAATATTTACATATTATATATGATGGGTACTAAATAGATAACCATCCTGAAAAATCCATGTCCTAGATGTCAGACCTACAGTATTTACATATGGGTCTAGGCCTAATTATAAATTTCTGTAGTCTTGTGTATTTCCGTCTGTAATTAGGTCAGTCTTCTTTTAGTAGTCATTGTTTTCTTTTGTCGAAATATAATTGCGACGTTTAACATACTAGAGGGTAAGCGAGTGAAGCGGGCTCACTCCTGACCCATTGGTGCTGGCTGTTCAGTGCCCAGATAGGCTCGATATGAGCCACGATGGATGGACAATAACCAGGATATATTCTGTCTCTTATACACATCTAGATGTGTATAAGAGACTTGTTTTAATGTGCCATAAATCTGTTATTAATTTGAATTAAAAAAACTTTGTTAGTTCCTGCAAAAACACATTCAGTACTTATACAATTACAATTTCTAGCTTTTGTTTTCTTTTTGTCAAATCATGGTAGTGTAAAAACGATTGACATGTAGTAGTTGTGTGCACGCTCCTAACTGAGGTAAAAGACATATTGACACCGTACAAATCGTAATAAGCAGTTAATTAGGGTCTTTCAATATTTTAAGGATTTTAATGCTTAGGAAAACCTCACACACATACATCGTTAGTATGTACACATATACATACTAACGTACCCTACAATAAGTTTTTACATTAGCGATTGACATGTGGTGAACATTTTTTACTTTTTAAGGCGAAATGTTTTAAAATGATTAATAATACTAAAACCAGTGTGTGTTGATATCAATAAATAAAGTGATGTATACTGTATATCATAATAAGGGGGTAGAATAAAAAAAATAAATATGATATTTCTATGCTTACAATATGTTAAATTCCTTACTTCTTAGAAAGAAAAACAAGGCAAAAATGAGGCAGCCAAAGTTAAAGGAAAAGTGTCAGACTCATCAAATGTAGGTTATTAAATTCATACCCATACTTTCAAATGTTTTTATCTAGGAGCGTAGGGTGGCTTTGGCATGGTTTGAGGAAGTGTGAAAATCGAGAATGTGAAACTGGCCTAGATTATTTAAATAAACCTTCTGAATACCCCATTAGAATTTCATATCAAATGTCATCTTTTTTTCAGGAAGGAAACCGCAACGATAATGAAGCTACCAAGACTCAAGTTACTGTAACAGAATTACCAACCTTTCAACAACAAGTATTGGCTGTGCAGTTTTCTAAATGGTTTTATGCCCTGCTGAATTCATACAACCCCTGTCAGGCAAAATCTCCATTGGAGAGTTGGGGTCCTCATCATTTCTGGAGTGATTGTCAACTTGTTATCAATATTTGCTTGATAGATGAAGATAGGAAAGAGACATTTGAAGGAGCAGATGTTGTTTCTGAGCGATTATTAAGCATGGCCAAAGATGAATTATTGTTGTTTAATCCAAATTTAGGTGAGTTTGGGACAAAAGGCAAAATGAATAAGCATGGAGTGACGATGGTGCTTGTGTGTGGTACTCTACATAGGAAATCTGAATGTCTTGGAACATTTGAGCAGTGCTTCGCTCTTATTAGTGATCCTACATTTCAAAATAATTGGAAAGTAAAGTTTACTAATTTAAGTATCATGCGAAAAGATGTAAAAAGTACCCCAAGACTTAAGGATGCATCTCTGCTGGCTCTGACAGCTGAGTGACATTAAATCTTTTAGAAAATACATTATTGTATATAATTCTTCAGGTTCGTTTGAGCTGAGTGCTTGTCTAATTGGTATGGTTCCTGCCTGTTGCATGCATGCAAGCTTTTATAACATTTAATAATCATACTTTTGAGTGTGCTATGTTGTGATACAAAGTTTCTATTGTGCAGCATTGTAGAATATGATATTGTGTAATATCAACATTTTACTTTTGACCTCAATTTTACTTGTCTATCGTTATGTGCCATGACTTGAAAATACTGAGAATTTAATAAGTAAGGTACCGATATTTGGTATTGTGTATAAGAACAGATGCCTCAATAATATAAGGATCTTGATATTTAAAATATCTCACATATTGTAGGCAGTGAGTACAAACTGTAAAACACAAATCAGTGATTAGTAGAACCTATTACAATATATCATGTTGAGCATGTTCTTTTTTATGTTGCTGTAAATTGTTTGTATCCATAATAACTGAAGTCTTTTAATGCTTGTGGCACAATATTTATTGAAATTAAATTTTTCTTCCAGAAATTGCTTTTCATTATTGTATTATTTTTACTTTATTATTTTTGTCGTTTTTGTTAAGCATCTTTTGGTTGTTATTCCATATTATACATTATATAACTTAAGCTTTTTAATGATAATTATTATTATAATATTTGTTATTATTAAGGTAGTATTCTTGAGTAAAATGTTGTGTTCTCCACAACCGTCTACTTTTTGTAAAAAGGCCAAATAAAATCATTGCGACAAGTACAGCTTCCTGGCAGTCGAATCGCTTGAACTTGAAGACTTAAACCACCGTAATAGTTGTAGATTCCTCCACAGCCTGTTATTACAACAGCATAAAAATAACGATATTTGACGTAGCATCGGCCAATAGGAGGAAAGTACGAGAGAGAATCTTGAGTGCCTACTTGATAGTTGATGTAGAATTGGTTACAATATGCCGATCTGTATATAAAATAGATTTAGTTTAAAAATTAAAATTAAAAATCAAGAACTAAGTCTACAATCAATCAATCAATCATTTTATTTCCAATTCAAAGAATTTACAACAGATAAGTAGTAAACATTGAAAATCAAAATCAAAGGAATTGGAAAAAGGCAAACATAACAAGAAGAACTTTAAGCATGTAGCCCAAATAATAATAAGAATAACAATAATAATAATAATAATAATACTGTAATAATAATAATAATAATAAAGCTGTTTAATTCGACAACAGAGGAGTATAAAAACCACCTTGATAACTGCTTGGATTTAATCAAACGTAGGTCTAACATTGGACATACTATATATACTTGTTCATTTTGAAAATACTGTAGAAGTATTGATGAGTTTTTTGCCATGTTTATAAATTTGTAGACAATATTTTAAACCAGCAAAACCAAGCTTGTACTCGGAAATACTTAGTGCATTTCACTACAGATATTACAAAGAATGAACAGATAATAATCAGGTATATCTACTTACATTATTTACATACATTTTAGATTTTAATTACTGTTCAAACTTGCTATATCAATACAAATAAGTATTGTTAGTCAAGAAAAATTCAGGTATCTCACCCAGGATTCGGACCCAGGATGGTTTTAAAAGTAAAGCATCATAACTACCAAGCTCCATTAAACTTTTATTTTCTAATCTTGGCATCCATTTGAAATTTGTTGACACTTACATGCAGTAAACAACTGGGAATCGCTGTCTGAAGTAGTACGCCTGGAAAATCCTGACCCATTGGTGCTGGCTGTTTAGTGCCCAGATAGGCTCGATATGAGCCACGATGGATGGACAATAACCAGGGTATATTGGCCCAGGGTATGGTCGGAAATCTGGAATGTAGTCAAATTGATTGTTAGCTGCAGTGCCATCAGTTTCTGCTCCGCCTGCTACTACCGAGGGCTCAGCATTCGATGGAATTTGGCTAGAATTAAATAAATTGAAATACAGGTAAATCAAAACATCATCTCTCGTATAAAATATTACATGCGACTCTCGTAGAAATGGACACAGGAATTAAAGGATCAATCCAAGGGTGCATTCAGGCTAAAATTTGAGGGGGTCAAGCCTTGCAAGCGCAGCAAGCATCTAGGCTGGGGACCAGGGCCTACAAGGGCCCCGGTGCGACCTATAAGCTATTCTAGCTTAACCCAGCTTCCTATGTGTGAGCATTTCATTCAGTTGTATAAAAGTTAGAACTGCACGTATAGCCCTCTGTGGTCTAATGGGTGTGATACTCACCTTGACAGAGGTTGCAGGTTCGAATCCCGCCAGAATTTTCATACAACTGAAATAAAAGGAACTTTTCGTTGATGACCCATGCTTGAGCATATTTGAGCACTGTTATTATTTATCCATTTGTTTATATTGTCACGGTGCTACGCAGCAAACTTGATTTAATATATATATACTGTCTCTTATACACATCAGATGTGTATAAGAGACAGGTCTAGGAATGCAATGCGAATAATGTGTAGGCCTATAAATCAAATAGATAATACAGTGCTCAAATATATAAGAACATGATGTTGTAAATCGTATCAAAAATAGTTCATCAACGAGAGTTCCTTATTATAGTTGTATGACAAAAGAGGTCTCTGGTGGGAATTAATATATAAACTCACCTGTCAAAATTGACGGCAGTTGAACTCACTCCAGCTTCGGCGAGGTGGGAGTTGAAGGTTGACGCAAGTACGACGCTATCTTCATCATTGGCGTCAACATCTTCAACTGCTTGACTGCTTGTTTCTAAAACGGATCCAAAATCTGCAGTAATTCTTTTTTGTGAAAACGTGACAGTAGTTGATATCCTAGAATTTGGAATATATTTAAATGAATTAAGTAATTTTCATCACTATAATCAACATTATCATTAGCATCGTCATCAAATGTTATTGTCTTCGCCCATCGTTAACGTTCGCGACATCATCTATCATCAGATTTATTACCTCCGCGAAGGAGGTTATGTATTCACTGTTATCTTTCTGTTTGTCTGTCTGTGAGAAGCTATGAGCAAGGTTAAGCAAAAAAATAATTAATGGATCATCATCAAATTTAATGGAATGGTACATAATGTTGATCGTACTGAGAAAGACACCATTCAATTTTCGGAAGAAAAGAAAGGTCAAAACACAAGATGAAAGTCACGGAAATTCAATTATGAATGAATGGATGGATGGATGAACATACTGTCATTTACAATACCACTACCGATACAGATGCATGATAATATGATTGATTGGTCGGTCGGTCGGTTGATTGATCGATTGATTTCTCGTCAATTATTATACTTACGGATCGATCTTTATAATATATATAAGAAAAAGAGATGACTAACCTACATGTTGGGGCCAATACTAAAGATGACGACGACGGAGCAGCATTGTTTAAAGAAAATGAGACCGCCTCTCCTGAAACTCCTCGGCTAACGCACAGCAAGCCAACAATGGACAACTGATTTTTAAATTAAAATACCGGTAGTTCATAATTAAATATAATAATAATAACTTTATTGTTTCTCTTTTGTAACAGAGGCACAATCGCTAAAGAGATGTGCAACAATAATTCACAATATAAGAGTAATAATAACATATGTACATTTGTCTTGCTATAGACATTTCTTACTTAAATATACACTGTCTAATTAATACTTTATCATTTTGAATTTTTTACTTAACTAATAACGAAAAGAAATTATAATACGCATCCCAAGAAATGAAATACACGCCACCGCGCTCGACACCGTTCACGCCATTTCCAGGAATTCCTGACGATGCGTGACCAATGCCGAAACTCGACGGTGCGCATTTCATCTCCCGGAGAATGCATTACACTTTATCTGAATAAACTGAAAAGAAACATAAATGAAACTTAAGAAGAAAAAAGAAAAGAAAAGAAAAAGAAAAAAACACGATAATAATCATTTTTTTCTCTCTCTCTCCTCCCTCCCTATCCCCTTTCCTTTCCTTTTCCTCTCTTTTTCTTCTTCCCCTCTCCCTCCTCCTCGTCTCTCTCTTTCCTCTTTTTTTTCTTCCCCACTTCCACGACTTTTTTCTCTCTCTCCCCTTCTCTTCTCCCCTTCTTCCCCTTTTCCTTCTTTTTTTTCTTCCCCCTCTTCTTCCCCCTTCTCTTCTCTTTTTTCCTCCTTTTCCTTTCTTTTCCAACAAATTTATTTATGAAGGAATTCCTTTTTAATTGGTGCACGGCACATAAATGAACAATATCAAAATAGGCAAAACAACTCAAAAACAGCGAATGTACCGTAAACCACCTTCTGCATTTAAACAAGTTATTATAATTTAATTTTGTATTTTTTCTAATTAAAGCTAATGTAATTAACTTAAATATATAAAGTAGAAGCAATTAAAATATTTCATATAGTATTCAAGTTTATTAACTCAATAAAGACAATAATTACAAAATACTTACCAATACGATCATCATGACTTGTTACCAAAAACAAAAACAAGGCAATATGGATATTATACTATTACAACGCATTTATACTAAAATATAATGCCAAGAAAGATATGAGTGTTCTCTTATTGTCTCCTTTACGGTCCTTCAACGCAATCTCGGAATTAGTACCATTAACACAATATGAAAAAGCACTCTTGTTTTTACAATGAAAGTAAGTCTGTATCCGCAATTATTAATAGCACACAAACATAATAAGTAATAAGTACCAGGGTGAATGTCTGGGTCTACTCGTAACTGTATTTATGATACTTATTGTTCAAATTACACAATTAAATTAATATAATTAACGAAGCAAGGGGATAATTAAATCAAACCACACATTATAAATTCATCACAGAAAAAAAATTTTTTTTAATAAATATAATGATTAGAGTAAGCACTATGACATCACGAAAATGTACACATCTTTTATATTTAAATGAACTTCATAAATATCCAAATTTCTTTTTTTATTATTTTTATTTCCTTCACATCCAACAGCAAGTACACCCTCACTTACAAGAAGGAATATGCAGGCGTTATAAACTAACATGACCCTGGGTTTAGAAGACAAGAACTCTCCGCTTAATCAGTTTATCACTAGTATATCATTCAAATAGTTATTCCTACATCAATGGCCTCTACATGATATAAGGTATGAGTTTGCTTGAAATTATTTATTTTAGCTGAAATTTAACGTTTACAATTTTAACTTTTACTGTGAAATGTCTGTTTTATAGGCCTCTACTATGTAGTTTTGTCTATTTTAATATTTTAAGCTGTGAACAGACAACCAGACAACACATTTTATAAGAACACTGAGGCTGAAATTGCCTAAAATTGCCTAAAAATTAAGAACAAAATAAGACCAAATTGAAGCTGAGGTAAAATTTCAAATGAGGTTTATATTTTTAAAAACCAAAATATTATATCTGTACATTATGTGCAGTAGGTGATGTGACTGTAATACCCTCTATAATACAGTACAGTAAGTGTACCTATCTGACATTTGGGGGCCATTTTTTGTGGGGGTCACTTTCACCTACATTCTAGTACAGTGCATACTGCCGTACAATTAAATAATTTTTTGTTTAAAAGGTGTGTAACCTAAACTAAGAACAAAATAAGAACATTTTGAGCCTGAAATCGGCCAAAAAATAAGAACACTGAGAATGAGCAAAATTTTACTGGTTCTTATAAAAAAAAAAGTGTATTTGACAATAGATCAAATTGATTTAAATGGATAGAACAAATGGTGACCCTTCCAAGTTCGGCTGCTATTAAGGGGCCGTGCCGAAAACGTTCATCAGGATCACAGAACAACGGGACTCGTGTTCAACATGTAGATCACGAAGGAAGTTCGAAAGGAAAATTCACAATAGGTGCGTCATAGCAAGAATAAATTATAGGCTACGTATTATGTTTTCTCTGGAGTGGCATTGTTTATATAAGTGCACGGTAAGTAGTTGCAATTAAAATTAATTACTACACTTATTATAAGCTTTACATACCGGTATGAAGTGTACGTTGACGTCATACAACAATACACATATTTCTTGAAAGGTAGGCCTACCGTAAGTTTGTTATATTTTAGTGCAGAATCATGTGACGTGTACGTACCTTATGTACCAAGCCGGGAGCCAAGCCCTATTCCCCTCCCATACTTACTAAAAATTTCTCCTCTCAAAAAGCCTTATCCTATAAGCCTATATTATCATAATTTAAAATGGGATAATTTACATCTTTCTACTACGCACCTGTGACAGGTCAGACGCATATTCCGTCACACCCCTCCCGTGCCACGCTGTACTTTCCACATCCAGGCACTCCCTTCTCAGCTCTGTATAATATAGGCCATATATATATATATATATATATATATACACATATACATACATACACACACATATACATACACACACACATATACATACACACACACATACATATACACACATGCACACATACATAGATACATAAATACACATACATACACATACACAATATACACACCCATATACATATAAAAGTCACACACAGGTATAATCCAGAAAAGCTTAAAGTTAGAACAACTTATTAAAGAAAAACCTTATGATTGCTCTTGGAGGGCTTTCATCTCAGTGCGTTTTTGCCACGCTTTAATAAGATAAGATTTGCAAAAACTATCAAAGCTAAGTAGAACATTATGACTGAGAAAATTTGAGTTTCCTCCAAGGACATATATAAGTTTATCTTCAGAATTACTATTGTAGAATGATTCCCAAACATTGTATTCATCATTGTACAACAGTTCATTTCTAAGCCTGTCAAGGTGATTTTCTCTAATAGTTGTTAATGCAGTACAAGTAAATAAAAAGTGTATAAAGTGTATAATATCTTCTGTGTCACCAGAATCACATATCGTACAACAACCATTAATTTCTTCTGTCCATTTACTTAATCTAAAATCTATATTTTAGTGCAGAATCATTGTGACGTGTACGTACCTTATGTACCAAGCCGGGAGCCAAGCCCTATTCCCCTCCCATACTTACTAAAAATTTCTCCTCTTAAAAAGCCTTATCCTATAAACCTATATTATCATAATTTAAAATGGGATAATTTACATCTTTCTACTACGCACCTGTGACAGGTCAGACGCATATTCCGTCACACCCCTCCCGTGCCACGCTGTACTTTCCACATCCAGGCACTCCCTTCTCAGCTCTGTATAATATAGGCCTAAACATTGTGATGTGACAGGGCCGTCGCAACCGTACCGGTCACACAGGCGCGGATCCAGACCTTCACACCGTTCGCCATGGCGAAAGTCAGGGTGAAAATTAAAATATCTTAAAGGTGATTGCAGTACCCAGTGGCGTATCTAGGAGTGCACGACACACCTCCCAAAATTACTCGCGCTCTCCCCTCTCCCCCTCCCCCAGGCGCGCCCCGTTTTCCCCCCAAAAATCAGTCAAGTAGTTAAAAGTCACCTTATTTTGCCAATAAGCGCCCCTCAAATGATCATCGATCCCCTTCCCCCACTTAACTTTCGTGCCCCTCCATCAGCACCCCCATTTTAAGAATTCTAGATACGCCACTGGCAGTAGGCTACCTGGTGGTCTGGCGAATTTAAACTCTTCCCTTCCTTAAAAAATGCCATCTGCCTCAACCAAAAATAAAAATAAAATAAATGCAATAATATTTTGCAATGTCAAAATATTAATTTGAAATGTGACTTTAATCAAATCGACAAATCGACACTATTGAGTTTTGTATTTTGATTTGTCACAATCACAGGGAGGATAATGTGTGCGTTGATTCTTGTTACCCTTATTGAAAGATGCATAGGGCCTATAATTCTATCATTAATTTGCTATTTCAAAATCACAGTGAAGCTGAAACATAGGCCTATTATTGTAACTGTTATTATATATCGATTGTATAAAAACATGGTTTTTTTGGGTTTATTTTTGAGTAACTTAAGAACACACTCCTCAAAAGCTGGAATTTCATACATCTAATAAGAAAGTAAAAAATGACCACCGAGCACTGCACTCAGAGACTGCAAATGAATACGGTATCGGAAGAAGAACAATGACAGGAATGGTGTGGTATGTGAATTTCGAATCAAACAACGTTGGAAATGGAAAAACAATTGAAAAACAATACTGGAAATCTGAGATGTCTAATTAATAAGCGTATTAATTGGCAATTGAAGTTTTCCAGGCTTATATCATATGGGTGGGGTGGTGCCTGGCCAAATTTGAAAAGTTCGACATTTGCAGTTGAGACTATTATGTACTGAATATACAAAATTTGTGATTTTCTGTTATATAAAAAAAATCTAAAATTGTTACATTTTCACCACTAATCTATTCTTAGACCAGGAATATTGCAGATTGGTTATACTGTAAAGCGCCCTAATCGGAACTCCTGCAATACTCGAATAGCGATCCAAGAGGCACTGAATACGAAGCGTTCATTTTTTTTCTATTGCTATTTTTACTTTAATTTTAAAATAATTATTAAAATGATAACATATAGATTAGGGGTAATTTATTATGGAATAATTAATATTAATATTAAAACTGTTGGCTGGGTGAGCAGAACGTTTACCATTACGGAAAGACCAAAACTGTTTACGGTTTCTATTCACATTATTTGCCAGTTCAATAAAATGGTTATTATAGGCTTTTCTAACAGCATATTTTAAATGATTTCCGGGTGTCGTTTATGTTCCATTTGTTTATATTATCAGTGTCAATAATACATGTTAGGCCTATGCATGTTAGGCCTATGCATGTTAGGCCTATGCATGTACGGCACTTCCAATTGCATTCATCTCCCACCAGATACTCCAAGCTGAAGAAAGGCAAACATATTTTATGTGTCTTGCCTTTGTACAGCTTAATTTTAAAACTTTTCTCTGTATTTTGTTTAATAATAAATATATGTATTGTGTTTGTCGATATCCTACAATTAAAATCGAATATTAGAGCCTCTAGAATCCTGAAAAATGCAGTGGCGTATCTAGGGGAGGGTGGAGCCCCCCCCCTCAAATTACTTGCGCTCCTGCCCCCACCCCCAAATCACGGTCAAGTAGTTAAAAATCACCTGAAATCACCATATTTTGCCCCATCAGCACCCCCGTATATATATTGTCTACTTTTGGGCAATCCTGCCGCTTTCTAGTCAAAATGGTAATAAACCAAAACGGCAATGACCCAAACGGCCCCATAGGCCTAAACAAAAACGGCAAAACTTTTTTACCAGAACGGCAATGGACCGGTACCAAAACGGCAATATACTTCTTTTTTCTTTTTTTTTTTTATAAGAACACATTTTATAAGAACACTGAGGCTGAAATTGCTTAAAAATTTAAAATAAAATAAGAACAAATTGAGGCTGAGGTAAAATGTCAAATGAGGTTTTTGAAAAACCAAAAAATTATACCTGTACCTTATGTGCAGTAATGTAGGTGTGTGACTATAATACCCCCTATAATCAAGTGTACTGTCATTTGGGGCCATTTTTACCAGGCCTTTTTTCTGGGGCAATTTTTCCA